TTCTTCTCAAATCCCTCGCCCAACCGGGGAGGGAACCTCCCCGGGGGGTCTTTGGTACGTCCCCTGCCCCGCCTCGCACCCTGGGGCGTTGCGGGGGCTCTCCCCATCGCGCGGGGTTCGCCCAGAGCGGGTGCTGCTCCCGCCGGTGCGCCTCTCCCACATCGCGCGGGCGATCCAGGGGTTCATCCCGAGTGTTACCGCGGAGGATCTTAGCCGATTTGAGGCCTGGCGGACGCGGCATTGGACGCCAACGTCATCTTAACCTCGCATGGGGGAGGGGGTGGGAGTGAAGACGCTTCTACCGGCCTATATTTTTTTATTATTATCCTGCAAGGGTAGTTGCTGTTTTTCCTGTTCTTCTCCGCACCCCCACCTCTTTTTTTTTTTAGTAGTTTCTCTGCTCTTTTGGTTTCAGAATGATAAAAAAGCGAAGAACTTTTAATAGTTCACGTGCGATTAATGCACCATCGAGTGTGCTAAATGGTAAATGGATGCTGAATACATGTAAAATGTACAAATTTCGCCGTTATGCTCCTTATTTATTTCGCTCTTATTTTCTATAGATAAAGTTATGGACTGTTTCGCGTTATTTACTTTACCTATGTTATGTTTATGGAAATGAGAATTCGTGAGGTACCTCAGGCCTGAGGCTTCCTTGCCGACACCAAACGAGGAGCGCCATGTTTGCATAGGCCGCGGTGTTGTTGTAGATGCACATTGTTTCCCCCCCTTCCCCCCCCCCCCCCTCTCCTACCTCCGCCACAAAAAAAGTGAGGACACTTTATTCACTTCCACGACCCGTTCAACAAAAATGGTTGCAGGTTGTCGTGCACCTTTCGCTTGGTTCGATGATACAGGTAGTGTGTGGAATTGATAAGTCCAAAATCGATCCAATTCGTGAAGTGTTGGTCAGGAAAGTTTCTGACGAGGATTGAATGGAGCACTACGAATGAACTGTGTAGGGTACCTTAAGTGGCCTGTGGAGAACTCGTTTGGAGTCAGAAGGCCCTTTAAGGCACCTGTTTGATAATTTGAATTGAAAAAAGGAGGTTGTTGTTGTTTGGTTTGTAAAGATTATGTGATGCTCGAAGGAAGAACAGAAATATTCCAAGAAAGAAGTAGGTGATGCATTTACCTTTGGACTTAATTTTCCCTTTGTAAGAAAGAGGAGAGGCCACAAACACGCAGGATGCTCTAAGCTCTTTTCTCCGTTTTATTTACATTTGATTCAACTTCAAAACAAAAATAGTATCAGAGGACCAGGTTGACGCCTTTTTAATACACCTCGTACAATTGTTTCTTTTACTTGTAGGAGGCTCTTTTTGAGAGCTCAACCCATTCCAAGCTATTTAAAGGGCAAACGGAACAATGGCCTCTAGCGCAAGTCCACCGCTGGTGGAGGTCGCGCAGCGCGCCGTTTCCGCTAGTGGCTGGACACCACAGCAAAAGTGTTTCCGAAGCCTAATGAAATCTCTCCGTAATGCTTATTTTCACGATCGATCTAAACTATTTTGGGCACGGCATCGGGTGTTAGTAGAGTTTTACAAGTATTCCAAGGTTGAGGATCCAGCCGTTGTTGAGTTGCTTGTCGGTCTTGGTGGTGAAGTCGCCGCCTTTGTGGAGCAGTACATGAAGACAGATGTTGAGCGAATAATCAAACATAATCAAAAGATGGTATCGCTTCCGGTTGATCAGGCTAAACAATATCGCGCCGATTACTACCTTCATGAACGTCAGCACGAGTCGTGGTGCAAGCAGAAGATCAAGGCAATCATGAATCGAAGACCTCCCCCACCATACCCATTCTTTTAACTATAAAAATGTTGATGATCTGCGCTTTGAATGAATGATCTTCCCTTCAGTAGTTATTTCTGCTTTTGAGGAAGATATCTCGGTGTTTTTCACACGTCTGGTTTAAGCGTTTGACGTACGCTAAGGCTAAATCGTCAGAAAAGAGCATGGATAAACATGCTAAGAGTGGACAATGATAAAAAATCTTTTGTGTTCTAAGAAAAATCTCCGACAAGGCTTTCCTAGACATTCGTTGTGTATTCACTTTCAATGTGCCAAAAGGTCAGAAATAGGTTTCTACACATGCGTACTACAAAAAGGGTAGTATTTTAACAATAGGATTAGCGTTTCCTAGTATATCAAAAGCACAGCCTTTTATTATTCTCCATTCCTTTCCAATTCCAATCATTTGCATCGTCTACAAGTAGCGAAGGTTATACTGCGGTTGTGAAAAGGGGATGTTTTTCTCTAATGGTACACAAGCAGATTGGTTGTATATTAGCTTTCATATCTGGCTCTAGGCCGATCGTGGATGGCAAGATTCATAAAAAGGTTTAATAGTTCACAAAACTATGAAAATAGGCAGCTGCGCGTGTCAGATGACTTAGCTCGAATTTAATTCTAGGGTCGTCATGAAGTTGATGATTACAACGCGATAGTCAAGCTGTCTGTGCTCTTTTCCGGAAAGGCTTAATGGTTGTGAACATGTATCCATCCGATCTCCCTTGAAAACGACTTAGTCTTGGCGGTATGCGTTACATCACCCCTAACACCTCTCCTATCACAGCAGCCTCGAGGCTGCACCCACAATTATGAGGATGATGCTGCACTATAATAATGAAACAATGGAAAAATATATTACTGTATGTCGTAACTAAGATCACAATTAACGACACCAAATAGAATGTAAGAAAGGGCCATCGCACTGTGTGATATCGGTAAGTGATGAATCATGCAGAGCTGTGGTATCGTCACATTAGTGTTTGATAATATGAAAGTGGCTGGAAAATTACTCCCCATGGCTCTTAAGGTCCCTTATCAAGGGTGATATTCGCATTTGTTTTGAAAACTGAAGAGGCTTGTCGATAAATTTGAAACAAAGGTTTGGTACGCTACTGTCGCATTTTTTGTAATCGAGTGGTAAAAGGGTTCAATTGTACAACGCTGAATCTCATGAATAGCTGAAGCCACTCGAAAACATGTGTAAAAAGGTTCTAACTCTATTTTCTGGATTCGTTTGGGTTTGGAACCTCTAGTTTCTTGTGTTCAGAAGCACAGGTTTTCCATTACAAACATTTTTCCTTCCAGTATCGAAAATCGAATTCAATAGTGTCACAACTGATTGCCTTATTTCCTTATTTTATTATTAGGGCCTTTAAATTTCGAGTAAATTAAATAAAACTCTCCGATTTTGAATTATAGGTACTATTTTTTGAAGTGACTGTATATCTTACGAAGGTCAATAGTAGCAAAAATGTGAATATATAACGTCTCTACATAAGCTGAATACGTTTATAACTATCATGGTTTCAATGTTTATGAAAGAAGGAACCCTCAAAAAGTGAACTAAAGACAACTAGAGGTAGTGGAATTGTAATACTAGCACTCACCACATGCACGAAGGGAATACTAGGTGGACGGTTCTTTGAATCGCATTGTAGTGGAAGGAAATCCTCAGCTCTAGGTATAAAATCAAAAGATATATACCAAGCCGTAATATGAAAAGTTCTTAGGTTGAACGATATTTTTGTAGGCATTTTTTCCTTTGCATTTATTTACGAGTCCTACGGGTGTTGCTGAATTTATCTCTATCTTCCCTTTTCCTTCACGAGTACTCAATTCATAACAATTGAGGAATCATCTTTAGAAAGTCTTTTTTTTAGTCAAACTTCACTTTTTTATACTCCCTATAAATATACATATATATATATATATATATATTTATTTATATATATATATATTTATATATATATACACACCTACATATTCTCAGTCATTAAAGGAAACAAACCAAATAAGTTCAAACCAGTGAAACCACGTTCCGTAGTACTCGCACATTACTATCTGTTCCCCTGGAATTTTCGCTGCCGGAGAGACATCACACTGTGATTCCTTTTCACAGTTCTAGACATCACCTACACAAACAACAACAAAAAAGAATACTCAACTAATATAGGAATTACTTTCCTTTCTGGAAGTCTATTTTCATTTCTCTGAATTTTTAGCGAGTAGAGGGAAAAAATAGCATTGTATAATATATACTCAGCATATTTATAATAGGTAAACTCCAGTTAGACATTCAAACTGTCCCCCCTCCAAAAAAGAGAGCTTTCCGATCTAAAGGGAAGATATTAAGTCAGAGAAAATACATATATCTACACACAAAAACGGAATATTATCATTATCCCCCCCTTACTAATCAGTATGAGCCACGAAGATGCGAAATTAGATTTTCTTACGAGTTCCAGGTACCTTCGATTTCTCAGGATTCCTTCCCTAATTGATCGTACATTGGTCAAGCTAGTTGAGCAGAACCCTGCCTGCCCGCGTGAGGCTCTCTCTATTATCCTGAAGACACTCACAAGCAGCGAGGAGTCATACTTCAAACTTGTTGTAGCGGATACTCAACAAATTGTGAGGCGACTGATGACCGACGGTTTCGTTAGTGCGGGTAGTATGAACCTGCGCTTTTCTGTGCCTTTGCCAGAAGGAACCATTTTTGAGCTTTTTCCCAATGGCATGCAGATAGAGGTCAATCCGTGTAACTACGAATCCTTCGTATCACTATACTTGACCTACCAGAGTCTGAATGAGGTGTGTACCGAAGCTGCTCTATGCTACACCTACGCTAAAGAAGCAGTTTCGCTACTCCCCGTTAGCGCCCAATCGAACCTTCTCTGCCGGAACTTTAACGTGATCTTGGGCCTGATGAAGAACCACCTCTTCAGCTCAACTTCAATGTGGTATATCACCAGTGACGAGATATGGCAAAAGCTTAAGGTCACCTACGCGGTCCCTTTTCGCTCGCGTCTCTTTCCTGTGCACCCGAACGCGAAGCCCACCGACCCCGTGCCCTTCTCCGAGGCCCTCGACTACCTCGAGCGGGCGACGCTGAAGTTTCGGCAACTCGAAACCCGTGGGGCGCTGGGCCGGCCGCTGGAAAGCAGCAACGACGAGGCGCAGCCACCCCACCGCATGCACTCACCCCGGGAAGAGGGAGGGGGGGGGGGGGGAGGGGAAACCCCTGGGGCTGGATCAGGACTCGGGTCAGGGCTTGGTTATGGATCAGGGTGTGGCCTTGGGACTGGTGGCGTCCCTGGCTCCCGCCGTTCCACGGTGTCGCGCGCCGAGGCCTACGCTTGGGACGCCTCCCTGAGCAAGGAGGAACGACAGCTCTGGTTGTGGGCCTCCCGCATCCGGGCGAACCCGCAGAGCATGACATTCGGGAAGATTTCCTTTGTCCTGCAGCTGCCGCATGGCCTCTTGAAGCTGAAGGTGAATGGCGAGTACGTCAGCTTGGTGTCGACTAACGTTAACGAGTTCGTCGCGCTCCTCGAGCAGGCGAACGAGAAGGTGCACACACTCTTCAGGAGGCCGCTCTCGCCTGGGTCATCGGAGGAGTTTCCGTTGGGGGAAGATATGGATCCCTCGTGTCTCTTCCCCGTTGCTGAGTCGAATACGTGGAATCTATTCACTTTGATTGAGGAATGCATTGACTATTCTTTCTTTGAGCAGATGCGAGCGCTTCGAGAACGTCTCGAGAACAACGACGTCACCATTGAGGAGTTGAAGAGGCATCGTTTTTATATCCCTACCAATCTTGGTATCTACGATCTCATCCCAGACGGCCGCTACATCCCAGTGAACTTTCTAAACGCAGAGGAATACTTTATTCGCATAGAAGAAGAGTATCAAAAAATATGCTCTCAAGAACTTTATGGGGAGAATATGGATGATGATGTGAGTAACCCGAAGTCTGGGCCGCACGGGAGACCCTACGAGCCTGGAAAGCTTGGTTTGGGAATTCATGTTGTAGAAAAGACCGGTCAGGTGCGTCATTCTTCAAAATTCAGTGATGTCAAGGGTCAGTGGTTGTCACTCATGAAACGCCGCGAAAGTGTCACGACGGAGGAATGCTCACATAAAGGCGTGAAGTACCAGCATCCAGTTCCCGGCCTGACGGTACCAGAGGTCGCCCGCGCATTTGCAAGTGTGAAGGCAGCCGGCGATATTCGTCCTGCGAGGGCCGACGAATTCTTGGATGAATATGATCTTCCCTTTCTGAGTCAGATCGAGATGCATATATCTTCCATGTTCAACAGTGAAGTTTCCGAGAGGCTGGTGGAATCACTGAATTTGAGGTGGTGTATCATCATACCGAATAGGCGTTGTGTTATTCCGTTGAAGCCAAACGGTGATTCGATACCTGTCACAGTAGATGAATTCAAGGACTACCTTATAGCTACCATTGATAAAATTAGTGAGATGCGTGCCGACATAGTGGACTGTGGGCGTCACCCAAAACCCATAACACAGGGAGCATCCCCAGCTACGGCAGTTGCTCCCCCTTGGACAGTACCTTTTACTGCTACTCACACTCCGATGCCCCCCACTCCTATTCCCCTTTGGGCGGTACCGCCTATCGCTAGTCCTGCTCATGCAATAGCTCATTCTGCTCCACCCGCTCATTCGATAGCTCATTTTGCTACACCCGTCCATACGATGGCTGCTACTACTATTCCCCCTTGGACGGTGCCTCCTGCTCCTGCACCTACAGTACCTCCTATTGCTGCCCCCGCACATAAGATACCTCATTTTGCACCACCCGCTCATGCAATAGCTCATTTTGCTACACCCGTCCATACGATGGCTGCTACTACTATTCCCCCTTGCTCAGTGCCCCCTGTTCCTGCTCCTGCACCTACAATGCCTCCTACTGTTGATCCTGTACCTACGGTATCTCCCCCTACTGCTGATCCTGTACCTACGGTATCTCCCCCTACTGCTGATCCCGTACCTACGGTATCTCCCCCTACTGCTGATCCCGTACCTACGGTATCTCTCCCTACTATTGGTCCCGTACCTAAGGTACCTACTACTGCTGCCTCCAGCACCGGGCACCGAACGAGACTAAGGCTTCGAGTATCAAGAAAAGAACCACAGCCTTTCGTAGGAAAATCAGAAGCCGGCTTGAAATCGGCTTCGAGCACTCCCTCTAAACCGAGCTCAAAGTCATAGCAAGTCAAATAAACGTGTTATTGTATACACATTTATTTCCTTTATTTATACACATATAATAAAAGCACTCAGGGCACATGGGACGGGTAGTTTATCCTCACATTTGCTATTCGAAATCTAACCTTCCTGCATTATCGGCGTTCTTCGTTGCCGTTACCATAACTGAGCCAGGTGCTGTAATACACCTATCGTGTAAGAAACGAATCCGAAAAAGAGCACTAAATAAGGCCGAAATAAATAAAGCTAATCATAATCTGTTCCCATACCTAATTTTCCTTCAAGCATGGGAACGCAATAATTAATGACTATAGTTGCAGCAGCTAAGAAGCTTCTGCTGCTAATGCAAAGTATTATCCTTTGCTTTCCTTGTTATACAAAGAGGAACTTTTTTACCACATAAAGAAGAGCCTAACTTTGTGTTTTACAGTTAGTTTTAATTTCCCTATGTGCTTAATTTTCACACTTTCTTTAGGCATTATCACTTCACTTCCCACTTTAAAATTTGCGTTATGCTTCAACGCCATTGCAACGTAAGGAGCCTTTTATACACACAATATGCTCACTCACACATGTTTATGTATATAAATAGCTTGATATTTGTGTTTTTACTTGTGTATTATTCCTAGGGCACATAACACACATTTTACTTCGCTTTAATTGTACCTTTATTCTTTGTCATTCATGGCTTTCTACGCAGATTGTGTGTTTTTGGTGCGATGGTATTCAACTCTTCTTTGACTCTCATTCATATGTGATTATTTTACGTCAAGGAGTTAAGAAGCAATTGTTTTTTTAATCATCCAAATACATTTGAAAGAGAATGACGTGAATTAAGATAAGCTAATGAGGGCACTTCTCAAAGGACTTGAAGCACATACAATTTCTTATTATGGTTTTTCAGTATTTGATTAGTGTATTAATTTGCCTTAAATCAACGGTATAAATCAGAATGAGTTATTGTTGTAAATCACCATGTTCTATTCAAGCAGAAAATACGTGAAATGTACGCAGAAGCGAAATGGGTAAAACTCTCATTTTCTGATTTAGATTCGTTTCCCTTCACTCTGCCTTGAAATATTCATTGTGCCTGATTTATGTGTTTTTTTTCAGATCACTATCGTCACCAATCCTGTATATTGTGAATCATCAGAGGAGGAAAAGCCAGATTCAAACCGCAAATGGAAAATGTTTAGTTATTCATATGCAAAAGGAGGAAGAGATGGTTTTCACGTATCGTTCTCTCTGCTTCCACCTTGCTAAACAAGATTATGCAAGGGAAATAATAACGGAGGGTGAGGGGAATCCGATTTTGATGTCTTAACTTTTGGTCGTAGAAATTCATTTTTTAGGAATATATATGCGACCTCTCGTTACGACATACCTATCATTTGTGATACTGTACTGTGCATTTACTCGATGCTTGGTTTATATGATAAAATCGAGAACTAAGAGGTGCATTCATCATTCACGTTGTTTAAAGAAGTTGCAGAGCACTCTATCTCGCTTTCTCTCCTCGGATTCGTTGTTTCATTCTTTATCATATAGGTTATTCAATCCGAACTTTTAAAAATGAAATCGTCTTCACAATACGTCCTTCCGCTTGAATAAAATCAGTCGCTATGAAAAAAACGAACTCGCTCTAACTAACCCGTATGTATTCATTATCTAAGCGGAGATACAAATTGATTCAAGCGCTTCTATTCCCTTTACTCCATATCCTTTGTTCCTAGATCTGTGTCCCCCTCCCCTCCTGAAAAAAAATGTCAGCTTCAGCGGCTGCTCATCTATGCTGGTGGTGGGGCGTTTATTCACATATACGCATAAGTTTCTCTTTTGAAGCATTGATGATTACAGATAGGTAACGATTTGGTTAGGGATCATTAGCAACGGACTTCTTTGCGAACCGAGAGATAGTTATTTCTTTATTTGTTTGCTTCCCCCCCCTCTCTCCCCCTCTCCCCTCCTCCCCCCTTTATTCCCCCCCCTCTCCTCTTCCTACCTTCGAACGGATAAGATTCGTATTTTGACCGAGTTTACTCACACTTTTAACATCTTCTTAGTCATAAATTCAAATTCTGTATTGCTTTCCTTCCTTCCTGATCATGACTGGTTGAGTCGGAATGGCAGTATATTGTAATGCGTTGGTGCAATTTACAAGATCCTTTTGCTTTCAAGGAGGTGGTGTCTTTCTAGATGAGAAGAGCGGGGCTACCGAACGGAGATTGCAACACCCCACCCCCTATGGGCAACTCCTTGGATTGGTAACGGGAGGGAGAGGGGAGGCAAAGATGGAAGCAGCGTCTTCGCAGAAATGGAATTGATCAAAGAAAAGAAAAAAATCGTATCGTTGACGAACCAGCAAACCTAACACTAATAACGCTGAATCCAAGGTCACGGAAACTTTGATAATCATGTTTTGGAATGAGAACACATTTTAACTTTATTCCTCTTCGGGGATTTTATGTTTCCTTTCGGATTTACAGCCAATGCTTGCTCTATTTTGAAATTATTTGGTTGAGAATGGAGGGGCACTATCTAAGTTAAACCTTTTTTAGACTATTATTGTATCCAGGACGAGTTGTTGTATAGCTTCTGGTGGGCAAAGATCTTTTTAATGCACCGTGCCTGCTGAAGGACAGGCTGAGTTTTTGAATGCGCTTATTGTTAAGCTCAGCGAGATGTGAATAATGATCAAAAGCCTTTGGATGATTTACCCCTAAAGCGATTTTTTCGCATGAATTCTAAAAATGACAATGTCGACATCAACGCCCCCTTCTCTTTGCCTGAGTCTGAAAAAGAGGAGCTCGTGTTTAGCAACCCAACGCGGAGGCTGATCGTTTTGCTACTAATTATATCGGCATAAAGGAGTTTATTCTCCCGAGCAAGCACTTTTTTACATGTAAGGGAAGGGGGGAGGAGGGAATATTATATTCCCCGTGATGGTTAAATTTGTGAAACGCAAAGATTGAACAGCGTGGTAATTAGAGTTGCCTGCTTGGTTGTTTTCGTTGCTTTGTAAAGTTGTTTTCATTTATTCACCTTGATTGTTTATCATTTGGCATCAAAGTAGATATCATGAAGGGGGTGAAAAGAGATTACTGTAATCTTTGGCGTTCTTCCACAAATAGTATTTTAACCAACGAGATACTTTCTAATGGATATATATTTATATGTGTGTGTGTATCAAAGCTGGTGAATTGGCTTTTCCTCCTCTTACTCACTCCCGGGGTCGGATAATTTTCAAATCGCTACTCTTTAATTACTTTATTTTTGGTAGTTTTGCTTCAGCAAAAAGTCAATATGCAGTATTAATGCATCTTTGGGAATACTTACAAAAGGTGCATTTCTCCTCAACAATACACATTTGGAATATATATATATATGTATATTCTGAATGTATGTTTATATGCACTTTTTTGTACGGTTGCACATGTTGCTCATTTGTATAGCCCTGCAATTCTACTGTCGCACCAATACGCGTTTGCTTTTTACACTTATACTTTTTAGTAGTAAAAACAAGTGAAGAATAGGCTTCATTATTTATCTATTAGTTCACGAATCTTTGGTTTTGATAATTATCAAAAAAAATAATAATGAGTAAACTTCACGCTATGCAAACAAATGTGGTTTTGTCATTTTTCACTCTTCATTTGTTATGGATGTCTACTGGGCTATAAATTGTCGACTCTTAAACTTGATTGCAACGGAAAATATAATTGTATACCTCTATCTGCCGTGTGCTTCGATATATTTTTCCTCATTTCTATAAACGCGTGCAAGCAGGCTGCTGCTTCAACTTGTTGTTGGGTTACTTTCTTAATACTAGGCTTTTTTTTCGAGTATCAAAAAAAAACATGTTTTACCTGGTTGACTAATCTTGTCTGCTCTTGATACTTCAAATTTTTCCAACTCACAATTGAATCAGACTTGGTATAGGGAAAATTTTGAAAATCGAATTTATTCAGCAGGAAAGAACAACATCTAGACGAAAAATAATAGCGAGGATCTAGCTATAGGTCAGCATAGCAAGAGTCATGGTTATGTCAGAGCAACCCGTTCCTTCATCATAATGCATTTCAGGTATTCTTCTCTGAAATCTAATATCTCTTTTTTCTACAAAATGTGGTATATTGAAGATTTAATATTACGATTGTCTTTCATTACCTTACGTTTTTTTCTTCTGTTTATGTGTCTGATACGATGCCATAATCCTTTCCATTCAGGAGCAATATGGAAGAAAAAAGGCACTCTTTTCTTTCACCTTTTTTCTTCTAAAAAAAAAAGAATTTGAGCCTTTTGGGGGGCTTTACCCCACGTTTATGGGCACTTCATTTCCTTTTGTGTCCGGATCCTGTCGCTATCTCCTTCATCTATGTTCATCATGTAGACTGCTCCGTTGATTCTTTAACATAAAGCAGCGCCTATAATTAGATTATAGCCTTTTTTGATTTAATTTTGCTTAGAAGAAGCTACTTCGTGGTATTGGTACCAAGGTATCCTTTTAAAGTGTTCATACTCAAATTTTTTTATTCAAAGGTTTACTGCACCAGTTCTGTGGATTAAGGCTTCTTAGGTAAAAATTTTCACATCCCAGAGCCTTACTGGCATTCAAATTATCACACAGGAATTCGGTGCCTCGGTGCATCCATTCCGCTGATGCCGTCTTAAACGTCTGAAAAGGTCTTCGATAAGGTATAAAACACCCGAAAAAAACGAAACTTCGATACTCACACATTTTTTCAAGCTAAAAGAAAACTTCTTTGAGTTAGGCGCGCTAAACGGCAGAGATTTGGATAAAAATGCGTTGATTGTGCCGTTCACCATGCTCCTTAATAACTACAGTTACCTGTTCATTAGTTAGAAAACGAAGAAACCAATCGCGGTCAATCCTGTTGACGAGATTGCAACTTTGCAGATGTTATCGTTGGTGGAAGAGCGCATCGGAGTGAAGTTAGAGCTGGCGGAGGTCTTAATAACGCACTGGCATTGGGATCATGCCGGTGGTAACAAGAGGCTTTCTGGAGTTGGCCTTGGAAGTGGAAAAGAGAATGGGATCACTGGTGCGAACAAGATTTTCCCAGACATGCAAGTTATAGGGCCTAGAAAAAGCGACATCATGTCCTGCACGAGGTATGTGAAAGGGAAGGATAAACTTTTCTTCGCGGGCAGTCGCGTTAATATGGTGGTATTCGATACCCCGGAGCACACCAAGGGCTGAGTTTCTTACTTAGCGGGTGATACCTATCTTATGAAGGATCCGATCAAGAAAACCACCCTCGTCACGGGCGATAGTTTATTTTCCGGTGGGTTAGGAGGTGCTCAGTTTGAAGTGACGTCGCTAGATCAGGTGGAGCAAACACAAGAGCGTTTTCTTTATGAACCACTGGTACATCAATATCTAACAACGCAGCAGCTAGCGGAGGAGGAAGATATTTTCGTTTATACTGACCATGCGTATACAGGGTCCAACTTGAATGGGCCATAAAATGCATGACGAGAGCAATCTCGCGAAAGGGCTCCAAGGGGAGAAGCTTCGATTTTCAGAAAGCAATGAAAATGGTGCATGAGGAAGTTTTAAGGGTGCAAAGCATCTCGCGTGGCATCAAGGATACCGCCAAAGTGAGCTCTCCCAATAGTGATTTGGAGCTGTAGAAGCCTCCAAAGTGCACGATCCCTATAACGTTAGTGCTCAGAAAGAAGATCAATGCCTCCCTCTCCGCAACGACTGCGAGCCTTGATGCCTTGGTTTTTTAAAGAAGTAAACATTTCGACCTCATAAAGTTGCATATAACGATTGCTAGGTCCGTCGATCGAATAATGTTGTGAAAAAAAAATGAACTTCTACGTGTTTATAATAAGAGAGAAATGCGCGAGCAATTATTTGGTCGCACCAAAAAGAAATCTAAGCTATGAGTCTACCTCCTGTAGACAAGGGAAAAAAAACATCCTGCTATCCATTATTTTGTGTCCTAGCGACGCGCTACCTTTACGCCTTTATTATTATGTATTACTATTAAAATGATCCTCCGATTTGAGTTATCTCTTCTGAGTAACCGTTGGTCTCCCCGTCTGATCTCTCCAGCCGGTGTGCTTCCCCCCAACCCCCTACCTTTTTTTTTCTTTCACCAAACCAAACCACCCACACCGAATCCCCTTCCCCTCACACCCACAACCAGAAACCATAGTGGAAAAAAAGTTCTTTCCCCACCCACCTATCTCCCCCACCCCACGCCGATTGATCCTCTGAGGCCTTGGGATTCATGGCGGCGATCATCTCCTCCCCGCCCTCGCCCGCCGTCGTTGACGAGGTGGAGGTGGTGCCCATCGGCAGCGGCGGCGAGGTCGGGCGCTCCTGCGTGCTCCTCCGCTACCGCGGCCGCAGCGTCCTCTTCGACTGCGGCAACCACCCGGCGAAGAGCGGGCTCGATTCCCTGCCCTTCTTCGACAGCATCGCGTGCGAGGCGATCGAGGTGGTGCTGATCACGCACTTCCACCTCGACCACTGCGGGGCGCTGCCGTACTTCTGCAACCAAACCGCCTTCAAAGGCCGCGTCTTCATGACGAGCGCGACGAAGGCGTTTTATAAGATGGTGATGAACGACTTTTTGCGCGTCGGCGCCGGCGCGAGCGACCTCGTCACGAGCGAGTGGCTGCATAACACCATCGAGCGGATCGAAACGGTGGAGTACCATGAGGAGGTGACCGTGAATGGGATTTGCTTTCAGCCTTTTAACGCCGGCCACGTCCTCGGCGCGGCGATGTTCATGGTCGACATCGCCGGAATGCGGGCGCTCTACACCGGCGACTTCTCCCGCGTGCCGGATCGCCACCTGCTTGGGGCGGAGGTCCCCCCGTACTCGCCGGATATCCTGATTTCGGAGAGCACCAACGGCATCCGCGAGCTCGAATCCCGCGAGGAGCGGGAGCATCTCTTTATGAAGAGCGTCCACGACGTCGTCCGGCGTGGCGGGCGGTGCCTCGTTCCCGTCTTCGCCCTCGGCCGCGCGCAGGAGCTGCTGTTGATCCTGGAGGAGTACTGGGAGGCGCACAAGGAGCTGCAGGATATCCCGATCTACTACGCCTCCTCCCTCGCGCAGCGCTGTATGAAACTCTACCTGACCTTTGTCAGCGCGATGAACGACCGGGTGAAGCAGCAACACGCGAACCACCACAACCCCTTCGCGTTCAAGTACATCCGCCCGTTGGTGGATACGAAGTCGTTCGAGGATAGCGGGCCCTGCGTCGTCCTCGCGTCGCCCGGGATGCTGCAATCCGGGATCTCCCTTGAGCTTTTCGAGCGGTGGTGTGGGGATCGCCGGAATGGGGTGATCATCGCGGGCTACTGCGTGGATGGGACGCTGGCGAAGGACGTCCTCGCGCGCCCGCGGGAGGTCACGCGGCCGAATGGGAAGGTCCTCCCCCTCGCGATGGGCACCATCGAGGCGGTTTCCTTTTCCGCCCACTCGGATGGCCGCCAGACGCGCGATTTCATCCGGCAGCTCCCTCGGGTGCAGCACACGGTCCTCGTCCACGGCAGCCCGGGCGCGATGCGGCAGCTGCGGAATAAACTCACGCAGGACTTCGCCGATCGCGGCATGGTCGTCCACGCGACGACGAATCAGGAGGCGATCCGCATCCCCTTCGTGGTGGAGCGGCGCGCGAAGGTGATGGGGCGGCTCGCCAACCCGGACGTCCGGCCGGGCGACTTCGTCAGCGGGGTGATGCTCGTCTCCGGGCAGCACCTCCGCAGCGTCGTGCACCCCGACGACGTCCCCGTCTTCACCGACCTCGGCGTGAGTCGAATCCAGCAGGCGATGG